AGCTGGGCCGCGGGCTGAGCACCGACGTGGCGCTGTGCGCGGCCAACCAGGGGCACGCCCAGTGCCCTGCGTGCTCGTGCGCGCCGCAGTTCCACTGCCCGGAGCTGCGGCGCGACTGCTCAGGCCTCCAGGGCTCGAGCAGTCACGGGCCCAGCCTCTGGGCCGTGGCGCTGGCCTGCGCCGCCAGCGGGCTGGTCGGGGCCTCCACCGCAGCGCTGGCCTTCTGGCGCGCCGGCGGTCGCTTCGTGGCGGCCCGCCGCCCGCAGGTCGGCGGTGACAGGGGGCCTGACTTCGAGGAGGAGGGCCGTGCTCAGGCGCGCGTGGCTCGCGCCAAGGCTCTGCAGCAGTGATGGCGGCGCCGGCGCCGCCGGTGCACCCGTCAGCGGCCGCGGCGGGTGTCCAGCCCGGCGACTTCATCGGGGTGCAGTACCACGTGGCGGGCGGGGCCCTGATCCACGAGCGCGTGGCGGTGCTGGCGCCGCCGGGGCTGCCTGGCGCGGCTTGCATCATCACGCCCGACGCGGACGAGTACGAGGAGCTCTACGTGGGCTCGCCGGACGTGCTGCGGTGGGACATCTTCCCTGGCGGCGCGGCGGGAGGCGCGATGGCGTGGGCGCCTGGCGCCCGCTACTACAGGTTTCGCAGCCTGCCGACGCCGGCCACGCTGCTGACGGCCGCAGCCGCTGCCGCTGGCCGTCTCGGCCTTGCAGCCCCGCCTGGGCCCATCGTGGCCAACGCAGGTGGGCGACCGCTGGCAGCGCCGGCGGCGGCGGCAGCGGGTGCGCTGGTGCCTGCCGCTGCAGCCCCGGCCGCCGCCCCCGCTGCGGGCGTCGCCGGGCTGGTGGCCGCGCTGGGGGGCCCCGCGGTGGCGCCCGGGGCACCCGTGCCCCTCTTGCCTGGCGGCGCGGCGGCCCCGGCCCTTGCGCCCGCGCCGGCGCCCGCGCCGGTGCCTCCAGGCTCTGCTGCCCCTGCTGCTCCGCCTGGCGCTCAGACCGACGCCCGTGTGCTGCCTGTGGCGTACAACGCCCTCGGCCAGAGGAAGCTGGGCTTCTCGGAGGCGGTGCTGCGCCTCGTGGAGCATGACTGGCCGGACTGGCCCATCTCGGGGCCGCGGACGACGCTGTGGGTGTGCCTGTTCATGAAGGACAACGGGATGTCGCCGCTGGGCCGCCACAGCAAGTGGCGGTCGGAGGGCCGCCTGGCGCTGGCCGACGCTGGGGTGGCCGAGCACGAGCGCTGCTGCTTCTACCTGGAGCAGATGGCGTGCTACGACTTGCTCAACGTGCCAGACGTGGCGGCGGCGGAGATGGTGTGCAGGAGCATCCAGGTGCAGGAGGAGAGGTGGCGGGATCGGTTCATCACCAATGCTGACGAGTCGCTCGACTCGCACCTTTTCTACGGCACCTCGGCCAACCGGGGCAATGTGTGTGTGCACCCCCAGCTGCTGGCTTACGTCAGCGGCGAGCTCTCGAAGGAGCACGCCGTCGCCAAGGAGAGGCGCAAGGCTCGCGAGGAGCGCCAGAGCGCCAGGGCGCCCAACAACAAGGACAAAAAGGGCGGCAAGGACAAGGACAAGGAGGAAGGCAAGGGGTGAGGAGGAGCGGGCGGCGGGACTTGGGGCCACGCGCCGCGCAGAAGCTCGAGCACCAGGCCCTTTTTCGCGGCCCCAGCGCCGCCGCCGATGATCTACGCCATCGGGATCTTTTTCCGCTTCCTCACGTGGCTCGACGGACTGAGCGCGTGTTCGAGCGCCGCCCCTGCCGGGCCGTGCGCCAGCGGCTCCGCCGCTCCGACGTGCTGCTGCAGTGGGCCGACCAGGGCATTGACGCGCTCAACTGCCTGTATGGCCACGCTGGTGCACCTCCGTCGGCGCCCGCGAACCTGGGGCAGCAGACCAGCCTGAACTTTTTGGAGGACTGCTACCTGGGGATGGGCGCGATGCCGAGCGAGCCAGGTTTTTGTGAAGAAGCCCTCCGCGAGCTTCTCAGTGGCTCCACCGTCTACGCTGAGGATGGTGGCGCCCGGGTCCCGTGCTCGAAGGAGCTGGTCTCCTGGCCTGAGGTGGGTTCCAGCCCCGTCGACCTTGTGGGCTGCCTCACTCAGGATGATGCTGATTGGGCACGGGATTGGCCACATAACTTGCTCAAGACGCCCGACGAGGCGCTGCTCGGGGCCCGACAAGCTTGCCCTCGCGGACCTTTCGTCGACCCTCGGTTGGCGCGGGATCCAGTTTTGTATGGTGACTTTGTTCGGCGGCTTCATCAATGTGGAATGTTGCGCTTCAAGGTGGCCTCCACTGCCAAGCACATGATTGGTGTATTTTTTGCGGGGAAGAAGTCCGGCAAGCTTCGCATAGTGTTCGACGCGAGGTACGCCAACGCCTTCTTCCACCCGGCGCCCGCGACGCGGCTGCCCACGGCGGCCGCGGTGTCTTCTGTGGAGTCGGGCGGCTTGCCCCTGTGCGTGGCGGCTGGCGACCTCGACAATGCCTTCTACCGTCTCAGGCCCATGTCGGGCTTAGAGGACTACTTCACGCTGCCCCCGCTTTCCTCGTCCCTAGCGGGCATCGCGGAGCTGGAGGGGGTGAGCATTCCGGCAGGGACCAGCCTGGTTCCCTGCCTTACAATCCTGCCCATGGGGTGGTCGTGGGCGATGCACTTCTGCCAGGCTGTGACCATGCGCGCCATCTCGGTGGCGGGCTTCGCGGACTCGCAGATCGTGGAGGACGGTCGTTCCAGCGTGGCCCTGCCCGCCCGCTCAGACACGGCGGCGGCGGGCTACGTGGACAACTTCTACGTCTTCGGCCACGACGCCTCGCTGGTCACGCAGCGCCGGGACGACGTGTCGGCCGTCTTGCGCGGGTGGGGCTTGACAGTCCACGAGGAGACGGATGCCTCCCCCGACGCCGTCCTGGTGGAGCTCCGGCAGGGCCGCTGGCTGTCTATCAAGCGCCGCAACCTGTGGCGGCTCCGTGCGGCGCTGGACACCGTGCTACGCCGGGGCTGCTGCTCCAGCAAGATGCTTGAGGTGCTGGTGGGCCACATCACGTGGGCCTGCTTGATCCGCCGTGAGCTGCTCTGCGTGCTGAGCTCCGTGTACCCGTACATGGCGGCCGGCCTGCCGACGACCTCGCGGCTGTGGCCCTCCGTGCGCCAGGAGCTGTGGCTCGTCCGCTCGCTGCTCCCGCTCCTTCAGAAGGACTTGAGCAGCCCGTGGCACGACGTGGTCGGAGTGAGCGACGCCTCCGAGTTCGGAGTCGGCGTCGCCGTGCGGTCGGCGCGGCCGGACGCTGCGGCGCAGCACGGCCGCCAGTGCGAGAGGTGGCGTTACCGAGTGCACGGTGCCGAGAAGGCCCGCGAGAGAGCCCTCCGCCCTCAGCCTCTACCATCCTCCGCATACGCCACAGCTTCGCTGCCTGCAGGACTGCACGGCCTGGACGTCTTGGGGCTGGAATCCTTCATCAGGTTGCACCCAAGGGAGTTCATGGAGGTGCCCAAGGAGTTCTTCGACGGGGCTCGCTGGGCTCCTGTTATCGCCTCAAGGGTCGTCGTGCCCGACAACTATTCTGGCTCTGGAGGGGGGCGCGTGTGTCTTGGGCATCAAGCACATCATGAGGTCCAGGGCCGCTTTCGGGAAGCACATACTTCTGTTCGTCGACAACATGCCGTTGGCCTTGGGTTGTTGTAAGGGAAGGGCCGCATCCATTCATCTTCGTCGTTCTCTTCGTAAACTGTGTTGCTTGGCGCCGTGTTCAAATTGTACTATTCACATACGCTGGACGTGTAGCGAGTTCAACCCTGCCGATGCTCTGTCTCGTGGGCGTTTAGGCTGGTTCACAGGGCCTTACCGACGCGCTGCTGCCGCCCAGCCTGGCTGCTCTCGTGCGGGGCCCCCTGAGGCTGACGGGCCGACACCTGCAGGAGCCGGGCTCGATGGCGGGTGCCTCGGCCTCTCGCCGCCAGGCGGATCGCCACCGCAGAGCTGCGGCGGCTCGCCAGGTGGCGTCCGAGCGGGGGCCCTCGGGCGGCCTCTCGGTGCTGGAGCGGACGGCGGTCAGGCCGGGCACGGAGCGCCTGTACCAGGTGTACCTCCGGGCCTTCCTGCAGTTCTGCCTCGTCATGGCCATCGACTGGACGAGCGAGGCCGAGATGGACGTCGCCCTGGTCACGTACCTGAACTCGATGTACTTCGAGGGCCGCGCCCCGAACGAGGGCTCTGTGCTGCTGGCGTCGCTGGCGCACTACGCGCCGGCGCTGTACAAGAGGACGGCGCAGGCCTTGCCGAGGGCGACGCGCTGTCTGGCGGGCTGGCGCCGGCGCGTCCCGGCCAGGATGCGCCTGCCGCTGCCGCGCCGGGCCGCCTTCGCCATCGCCGGGGCGCTGGCTGCCTGGGGTCAGCCGCGCATGGGGCTCTTCGTGATGCTGTCGTTCGCGGCCTACCTCCGCCCGCAGGAGGCCTTCCGCCTGGCCGGGCGTCACCTCGTGCCGCCAGTGGCCCACCTGGGGCAGGCCCCCACTCCGTGGGGGCTGCTGCTGCACGACTCCGACTTGCAGCTGCCCGGGAAGACCAACCTGTGGGACGAGAGCGTGCTGCTGGACCAGGCGCCGTGGCTCGAGCCAGCCCTGGAGGCGCTGAGGACTGTCGCGGGCGACGGACCCTTGTGGGACTTCCTGCCTACGTCGATTGCTCAGCTCTTCGAGGATGCGTGCCGCGCCCTGGGCCTGGTGCACTTGCAGCCGCATCTGTACTCCCTCCGTCACGGGGGGGCCAGCGAGGATCTGCTGTCGGGCGCCAGGACGCCGGAGCAGGTCATGCAGCGGGGTCGCTGGGCCACGGTGGCCTCGCCCCGCCGCTACGGCAAGGAGACCCGCCTCCTCCGGGAGGCCGCCAAGGTGGACCCCGACGTGCTGCTGTTCGGCGAGATCGTGGAGCGCGACTTCCTGGACGTGCTGCGGGGCGGCCCCTTGCTGCCGCTGGCGTGGGCCGACCTGCCTGCGAGCGTCGGCCCCCGCCTGCGGGGAGGGCCCGGGGCCCCCGCCGCCACGCGGCGCCGCCGGCGCTGACGGCGTCGCCTCAGGCCGCGCGGCTTCACCTGCAGCGGCGGTACCGCCGAGGCCGCGCTGGCACCAGCAAGTGGAGGTGCTGTCTGTTTCTGGAATTGTTCGCGGGGCAGGGTCGCATTTCCAAGCGCATCCGCGACCTTGGCCACGGGTGCCTGGACCTGGACCTCGCCCACGGGGCCTGTGAGGATCACCGCCACACCACGTTCGAGTCGGTTGTGCGCGTGTGGCTTCTGAGCAAGGCCATTGTATGTCTGTGGCTGGGCACTCCCTGTACGTCCTGGTCGCAGGCTCTCAGAGACCCTTTGCGCTCCAGTCGTTTCCCCATGGGAAAACCAGGTTTGTCAGGAGCTCGGCTGGACCGCCTCCGCGTAGGCAATCGCTCGTTCTACTTTTCCTGCCGGCTCATCCGGCTCTGCATCCAGATTGGCTGCCCTGTCTTTTTGGAGAACCCTCGAGGGTCGCTGGCACGCCCCCGAGATGGTCAAGCTTCTTTCGGATTCATCGTGCACCGTTCACAAGATGGACATGTGCCGCTTTGGCACACCCTTTAAGAAGCCAGCGACAGTGGCCTGCTGGAATGCAGGCGTCTTCCCCAGCTTATGTAAGTCGTGCTCTGGCAAGGGAGGCATTTGCTCGTCGACTGGCCTGCCTCACCTTATCCTCCAAGGTCGAGACAAAGGTGCGCCTGCCCGCCGCACCGAGCTGGCCGCGGCGTACTCGCCTCAGTTCGCCCGCGCGGCCGCCCTTGCCATGACACACTCTGCCAATGCTCTCAGAGAGAAATGGATGATGGATGCTGCCTTCAAAATCATGTAGTCTCTTTTCGGTAGTTTAGGTTATTTCACGTGCGTAGTTCGTTTTCGGCCACTGGTGTGGCCAGGACTGCTCTGCGGGATTCGGGTGGCTCTCATCAGTGTCTTCGAGGGTGTGCGGCTATCGCCGGGATCAGCTGTCAGTTGTATAGCCTCCGGCATGCCGTGGCCTCGCCCTCCCGCGCTCGTCCCCATAGTAAATACATCGTCCTGGCATCTGGGGAGTGGAAGTAGCTGATCCTTTTAACAAGTGTATGCTGCGTACCACGGCGAAGTTGCCGCACTTGATGGTCATCCGTTGCCATCTCGCTCTAGCCTCCCCTCCCGCTCCTCCCTTGCTCTCTCTCTCGTTTGCACGGATATCAGGTGGCTCTCATCAGTGTCTTCGAGGGTGTACGGCTATCACCGGGATCAGCTGTCAGTTGTGCAGCCTCCGGCATGCCGTGGCCTCGCCCTCCCGTGCTCGTCCCCATAGTAAATACGTCGTCCTGGCATCTGGGGAGTGGAAGTAGCTTATTATTGGCGGGACGACTCTCATCCGACCAGATTGTGACTATAGTTTGGCCGCGTTTCTTTGACAGAATATTGCTCCATGCCCCTCCCCTCGTCCGAGTGTGCTTGCAGCACCTTGCAGCATTCTCCACTGGGTGTCTCATCTGGACAGCGATCTGAATTGGCTTGCGAGTTTTCTTGGTGACAGGCAGCGGCCCGACGACGTCGCCCCGCCCTCGTGGATCGATCTGGCTCGAAATCATCCTCAGCAGTCCCAGGGCCTCATCAAAAGCGCTGCCAAGAGGGCGCTCGCCCGTTCCCTGGGCACCTATCACTTGGCTGCCTGGGAGCGGAGGTTCGACAAACTGGCCTCGGGGACCTTTTTGGCCTTGCCACCCCCTGCCCTTGCACGAGTCTTCTCGCGTCCTGAGTGCGCCCAGAGGTTCGCCACCCGCGCGGGACTTTTCTTATTTGCTTTTTTTTTTTTTTTTTTTATTTTTTTTTTTTTCTTTTTTTATTGTTTTTATTTGTGTGTCTTTGTTTTTTTATTTATAGTTGTTTTTTTTTTTTCTTTTTTTGTTTCTTTGTTTTTCGTTTTTTTTTTTTTGTTTTTTTTTTTTTTTATTTGTTTAATTTATTTTTTTTTTTGTGTTGCTTTTTTTTTTTTTTTTTTTTTGGTTCTTTATTTGTTTGTTTTGTTTTTTTTTTGTTGTTATGTTTCTTGTTTTGTTTTTTTTGTTTTTGTTTTTTTTTTTTTCTTCGATGTTCGCTTTCAGACGCACCATCCCCCCCACCAGCGCTCCTAAGTGCTTTGTCACTGGCATCACATGCCAGGTCTGTTGCAAGTGTTTCCACCAACGGGGCAGGCTCCATAAGCGCCTGCTCCAGGCCAAGAGGTGCCAGCGGGACTGGTGGGCCTCTGGGCGCAGGGCGAGCCCCGAGGACCTTGTGGCCAACATTGAGCTCATACGCCAGCAGCCTGCCGACATCAGGCGCAGCGGATTCCAGGACCACCGGGCTCGTGAACCACCAGTCCGAGCACCAGGACCCCCCATCGTTGTTCCTGGCTCGGGGGGTCTTATTCCCGCCCCCCAGCCCGCGGCGATTGCGCCCCCGCCGCCTGCCCCCTCGAACCCCAGTCCCAGGCGCCCCCCCGCCCCCCGACGCCAGATGCGCGCGCTGCATTTGTTCTCGGAGACTCGGCGGGGGGGGGGGGGGAGACATCCAAGATTGGGTGGAAAAGGTGCCGGTCGCACACCCCGCTCGGCCCATTGTTCTTAGCATCGCTGTTATCAACGATCCAGAGCACGGGGATTTCACGCGCCCAGACGCGGTGGCCTTGTGGAGCCGGCTCATTCGAGCTGGCTTCATCGCTGCCGCGATTGCAGGCCCGCCCTGCGAAACGCGGTCAGCGGCGTGCCACCGCGACCTTGGGCCCAGGCCCGACGGAGCCAGGACTAAGCCCCCCAGACCCTTGAGATCCCTTGAGGCTCTTTGGGGGCTCTGCAACATCGGGGAGCGAGAGCATGTCCGACGCTCGCTTGGCAATCGGCTGTTGCGGACCACCCTCGAGGTGGCGGCCCTCTGTTGGCGTCTGGAGGTTTCCTTCATTATGGAGCATCCCGCTGAACCCTGGGCCCCCCCCGAGGCCCCCAGCCCCTGGTTCTTGGACCAAGTGGAGAGGCTGTGCACCTTGGGGGCCCCCCACCGGGTCACCATCCATCAGCGTGCCTTTGGAGCCCCCACATGGAAGCCCACCAACGTCCTGATCACCCACGCGCCCTCTCTCGTGGATGCCCTGGCTACCAGGCGGGGTGGGGGGGTCATGTGCACCCGCCGCGCTGTGCACATGGTGCTTGAGGGCTGGGATGAAATGGGCAAGTGGAGTTCCTCGGCTGCCCACACCTACCCCTCTGAGCTCTGCAGGGTCCTGGGGGCCTCCATTGTTCAGGGATCCTGGACACGATTTCCGCGGCTGCTCACCAGGGGGGGGGGGGCACCCGCACTTCGGTTTCCTCTTCGACATTATCGCTGAGAAGATATCACACACCATTGGGTCCATATCAGGACGACCAGCATATTGGCATAGGCTGTATGCTCCACACGGATACGAGACCCAAGGAGATAGAGGGACAGAGCTGCAGCGGGGGGGGGGGGGGGGGGGGGGGGGCACGCTCTGCTGCTCGCTGCCCTTACTCCCTTGGATCCGTGCCGCCCCCTTCTCAGGTTCGCGCACCTCTGGCGGTGGTAACTTTATTTGAAGGGCCGTCTAGGATTCTCACCCATGGAAGGATTGCCTGGGGTACGACCCTCCCCGACAGCGACGTCACACTTCTTTGACAGTGCCAGACTGGGCCTGGAAAGGATTTGATTGGCAACGCCCAGTTCACGTCCACGCTGGACATTAAATAGCTGGGGGTTGAGGTTCGCCAGGGAAATGCATGCGTTTCACTGACATGTTGCTGCCGCTGCTCTGCCGTCGCCGCATCGTTGTCACTCCGTCCCTTTTTCTATATTGCTCTCAACCTGTCCTGCGGGCGTCGAATCTCTGCCCTAAGCCCGAGAAAGAGAGAGGAGGAGGAGGAGTTGGAGGAGGAGGAGGAGGAGGAGGGGGAGGGGGAGGGGGAGGAGGAGGAGGAGGAGGAGGAGGAGGAGGAGGAGGAGGAGGAGGAGGAGGAGGACGGCCCCCACTCTCAACAACTCTTTGTTCCAGCAGGCATGTTTTATCGGGACGGCCATTTCACCATCGAGGAGGAGGATGTGGCGGGGGGCAATTCAGGGCGGGGAGGGGAAGAGGGGAGAGGGGGTATAATGAAGGGGGAACTGCTCCTCCGCATGCGTTCCTGGTTTCCTTGCGTCATTGTGCGTTCGCTGCTTTTGTCCTTCCTTCCGCCGTCTTCGCCTCCGCCCCTTGTCTCGTTTTTTCCTTTCTTCATTTGTTATTCGTTGTGTCGTCCTTTTCCTCTTTCCTGGACTGTGTGGACGGGACGAGGGGACCTTGCAGGGCCCATGTATCCCACCCACACCAAGTAGAAGGGGCCTCGAAACCATGCAGGGCCCACCCCCCCAGCGGTTTACCCGTGGTCGGGTGATCGCCCTTTCCAGAGACAGTTGAAACGACCATGTGCATTATCGATGTTGCGTTTGTACTCGGTTGTGTAAAGGTCTTGCCACCGTTTGTGAGCGCAAGGCGCACACATTAGGTGGCCCCCCGCAGATGCGGATACAAGTGAGGGGGCGGCAGGTTCGTCGGCAATATGCGAGGCTCTGAAGAGACCCGCCGCAGGCGCCGATTTTAACTAACATTGTGGGTTGCGGGTGGTTCATTAAACCCCCCCTTTGCTATCCCCCCCATTGGTCCGCCTCGATTGTCCTGCTCCTCATCGTCAACTTCCTACCATCTGCGTTTCATCGTCTTCAGCCTCGTTTTCGTCCCCTCTGTCCTCTTCCCACCGAGCGCGGGAGTGGGGCGTCTGCAGTGCCAGAGCGCTTGTTGTCGCACTTGCGCTTGCAAGGGAAGGAGCTTTCCTCGACAGACCCAGAGCCGGCTTGATTGTAGGCGATACTATCCAGTTGTATGTTTAACGCAGCAGCCGCTATCACTCACCCTCCTCGTCTTTCATCCGCACCCGC